GGTCACAGATACATATACGTTTACATGATGGTTCACACAGTAAATGCTGAGCAACATCTTCAGAATGCCAAGTTCATGACAACTACTGCATTTCAAATTGTGCATTCACCTGTTTACTTAAGCAAAAGTACTAAAGTAATATCAGAAAAGGATAAAATCCTCAATGTGAAATGTCATAATATTACATAGAGTACAATTATATTGTGTTATGGTTACCGAATAGTCACATTGTGTTGAGATGAAGTGTGGATGTTGTACAGGGCTGGACCTGACCTAATCTGAACTCTTTTAATTTATTATTATTATTAATTTATCCTATACCACTGCATCACTTTTTACATAATGACTGAATGTTGTCTATGAAGAGTCTTAGTCTGTAAAATAACCTGTTATCTGCTTCTCAAAATAACAGTGGAGCAAAAAGGAAGCACAAATGACCTTAAAGGGGAATAAATGGGCATTTTTACTTAAAAATTATATTTAAATAAATATACTGAGCATCCACCTGTGACCAAGAAGAAGGAGAGGAAGACCAATAAAGAAGTAGAATGTAAATAAATAACATACAAGACTTTACACAAACTTTATAAAAAAAGATGCTAGTGATGGGGCAGCTCTGACATGGAGGGGTAACGTTTATTTAGTGTTTAAAAATGATTATCAGCGTGGGAGATGCTCTGACCCAGTCATCTCACCATCACAGTTGGCCCTTATCCAAGTTGCTCCTTATGTTTGGCTGTTTTTCCTGCTTCTAACCCATCAGCTTCAAGGACTGAATATTAAGGTTAATATACCCCACACACTGACAGGCGCCATGGTAATGATAATTTTTATTCTAAAGTATGCTACGCACACAATGAATTTGTCTCCGGTACAGAACTGAGGCAGCTATCTGCAGCACCAACTCACACACACTGATGGCAGCGCTGTTCCTGCAGGGCACTGCTCTGCCTATCATGGGCAACTTGGGGTTTAGTGCCTTGCCCAAGGACACTTCAACATGAGGAGCACGGGAACTGAGCCTCGGACCTTCCAGTTACGGAATGGCTGCTCTACCCCCTTGAAGCACAGCCACAGCAATGAAATAATTAGTTAGTTATTAGCAGACTGTGGAAAGCATGAAGATGTCACACCTTAACTTCATTTAATTTTGACCTGAGTTAAATATTGCTGAGTTGTGGCCTTTGTTGGTCAGATAAAATATTGTGCTGCACAGACAAAGTGGTTTCATACCTTTTTCACATGGATCAGGTTTTAAAATAGAAAGTAAACTTATAAAGCCAATTGTAAATAGACTGTTTGCTAGCTGAGTCTGAGTGAGTAAACAACTGAGGACTTTTTAAGGGGTGTTCTTTCATGTCAAGGCGGTGAAAAGCTGCTCACAGCTGCTGGGCCGACTGTTTTGAAGGAGTGAATTGTAAAAAAAAAAAAAGCTATTTCAGTGGAAATCACCAAACATACATCCATGCTGTGTATGTTACCCACAGACTGAACAGCAGAATGAGAGAAATACTTAACTAGAGACTGTATGGCATCTCCTGTTCTTGCCATAGGATGGCAGTAGCAGTCCAGACTTCTCTGGCCTCTTCATCTGCTCTTAGTCAGCAGGATCACAGTAGAGTTTGCATGCTGAGGAACACTTTAGCTCTGAGCTACCTACTACAGAGGCATATTACCAGTTTAATAGCTTTCCATTTTCTTTGCACAATGCCATTCATGAGTCACTCTCTGCTGCTGTCCCGGGTGATCACAGACCCAGTTGCTGCATCACTTTGAGCAGTACAGGTCTGTGCAACAGCGTTTGGCAGTTTTTTCATTTGTTGTCTCAACAAACCACCATTAATTTACTGAGCTAGTCAAACAAGGATGAGGCCAATGTCTTTATCTAGAAGATGCTCACTTTGTTTTCTCCCAGTTTGAACAAATGTGTCAATTTGTAAAATTCAGTTATTGTCCCACAGCTACACTGGTACAACTGTCTGTTTGCTGGCACTAATTTATTTGTGCCAGCTCATGAACATTCCTGTGACATTCATCAGCTACAGTAGCACTGTGTGTGTGCAGCAGCCAGCAAGTGGAATTTTCTTGAGGAATTGTTTTATCCCAACCTTAGTACAGCAGGCAGAGTTTTCTCCTGGGCTGTGGAGAGCTCCCACTGAACTCAGATCAATGATCAGGTAACAAGTTAGAAAGGGTTAAGGCTTGAAGGTTAGATACTTTAACTGAGCTTTGAATTGATCTTTTGTTCTGAATGAACATCAACCATTAGATCTTGGTAAAGGCAACAATACGTATATGCTCAGTACATGAGGAGCTTGTGATGGTGGAGTGAGCTGCAGCACTGAATGGTGTTAGAAGAAGGTATTAGCAGAGTAACAGCAAAAGGTGTTGGTTTATAAACATGAATATGATTGGAGTTTACTTGCCAAGCAGCTGATGGTGAGGCATGAATGACACAGCCAACATCAGTGCTGTCTCTGGGCCACAGATTTCTGACTGACCCCTGTGACGTGAAAGAGCACTCCTCTTTCCAAGTGTCATTAGCATCTTACCTGAGACACCATGGAGGTAACACAGAGGTACTGTATCTGCAGCGGGGGACACAGCCCAGATAAAACCCCCATTCTGTCACACTGGAAGTAAAACATTATATACAATGTTTGGAAAATGCCTTTTTTATATTAATCTCAAATATTCAAAGAGCAACTCTGCACTAAAGTCATAAAGGAAAAACACCTTGCGGAAAGAGATGACCGTACCGAACATCCTGGACAGATGTGGTCTGTTGTGCTTATGAGCAGACTGGCTCTGACAGCATGCTGCACAACTGTGTGTTGTGACGCCTTGCACAGGCTGTGGACAGAGCATGTAGCCAGCAGAAGATGCAGCTTGAGAATAACTGTTAGTCTGTTTGTTGCTACTCTAAGGACAGTCATATGACAAATGAGGAACCAACAGTAAATCTGGACTCCTTAAAGCACAAATAGGAAGTGGATCAGATGGCTTAGCTGTATTAAATAAAAGGTCAACAAGTGGAAAAAATGTTAATGTGTAGTGTCCATTTTTTAAAGAAATAATAGACAGTGTTGTGATAAAAGCAGCATAACACATAAACAGGGAGAAACTTCTATCTTTACATACAGAAAGAGGAGCCTGGTGGATCAGTCTTTCTCTGCCTGATTGCTTTGAAGCCACCAAATAATTTTTCTATTCATCCTTTATAAGTAGCCATGCTGTGCAGGCATGATGACAAAACACAAAGGCTGTCAAAATGATGTTGTGTAATGTTTCAATCACAGACAGCCTGTGTACATTGGTGTGTGTGTGTGGGACAGTACAGTCTCAGGCTGAGCATGGTCTTTGTGCTTACTGCATTTCTGTAACATGGCCAGCTGCTGTTTCTGGACTTCTCTTATAACCCTCTTGTCAAACTGTCACTACTGTTTGTGATTGGATGCAGACGTTCCAGGAACCTCTGTCAGAAGCCAACTCAGCTAGTGTAGGCCGCAGACGAGTCCTGCTATCCTTCACATCCAGTGCATCACTGGACAGTGCAGTGTAGTCACACCCTCACATAGTCTCTGTGAACTGCGACAAAAACACTGCAGGATGTAAAAAGTGAAAGCTTTTGTTTTTCCATTTGGCACAGTAAAGCTAAGAAACACATGAATTATCACAGTAACAATCATTTTATTTGTCATTGTAGTTTGTTTTAGCTTATTATTATTATTATTTTAATTATGTCACATGTAGTCTTTTTATTTCTTATGTGCATTTGTGTCAATGTCTTTTTTTTGTTCTCATGTGTTCTGTTTTACTATCAGTGTGTCAGCCATCTGCATTACGTTTAGAAAACAACCACATCCAGGAGTAATACAGTTAATACATCAGTCAAATAAAATAAAATCCAAGGCAGCAATCTGGACATATACAAATAAAACAAGTCCTAACTCTAGCTTGGCTGACACAACACATTGTGGCTAAAAGCCTTCTTCATGGAGTTGACAGTGACACACACAGAGACACAGCAACAGACCCGACACAAGCCAAGCCACAGGTGTGTGGGTAGAAAGGAGGCGGAGCTTCTCTTGTGCAGTCACCTCGACCCTCATCTCCAAAGAGCGCTGGCCTCTGTAGTGCCATTCTTACTTTTGATTCAGTCCAGTCTTTGCGTTCTTTGAAATACATTTCATACACTTAAATGCTCAAAGAAATCAAATTTGTATAGCTACTATATATTCTATGGTTTTTTTTGTTCATGAGTTCAGTGGATCTTCACATCCCAAATGTTGAACTCATTAAAAAACTGAGCTGTATAAACTAATGAAACTTATGAGGGTATATCTCACTGGTACCTGCTATTTGAAGGCTATGTTCTTGTTAAAACCAGGGTGAACCATAGCTCTCCCAGAGCTTCACAGGCCACGAGACTGCATGAGGCTGAATGTCAACTGAAACTCACATCTGGAAGTATCACAGAGTGTGTATTTCCTTTTGCCATCATGTTCTTAGTTCATTTCTTCTTTTATATTTTTATTAAAATGCATTTAAATACTTTGATGTCAGATTGGAAAATAACAGCAGCAGATTAAAAACTAATCTGCTGCTGTATGAGGGAGCAACTGAGTGGATGGGAGTGTGATCAGGAAGTGCAATGCACCATGACTTCTTTTTAAAGATTAGTCATTTCTGTGGCTTTGTTGTGATCTGGCAGTACAGAATACTGAAAATCAAAAGACAACCATTAATCGCTGACTAGTTGTCCTTACTTTAGACTATTTTTGTAGCATTAACAATGTAAAAAGACATCATCACATTCCAGTTATTACTGTGACAATCCTAAATCACTCAGGTTAATTATGAGCACAAACACAGGCAGATAATGTGATGGGACTTTGAAAAGGAGAGTTATTATATGGGAAATGTAAGGTGATTGCCTTCTGTCATAATACTGAGAATGATACAAAGAAGGTGCAGAAACAAACACTTGAAATAGGAAAATTTAATAATCAGAATATTCAAAATCAAACTTCCAGGTAATGGACATTTAAAGACACTTAGAACAATCTTGACATGTCTGACATATTTTTGTCCATTTCTGTTATGTTCCTCATGTCCTTTGCATGCTTAAGGCAACAGGTGTATAGTCAACCACAGTCCATTTGGTATAGATGTATCAGCAACTTGTACAAATAGCATACACTCATGTAATGGCAGGTATAAACTACATATAGCATATTAATGACATGTTCTTAAATTAAAAGAATCTGATATGTACCCAGAAACATTATAATATCCTCGTTTGTGAAGGCTGCATCTGATAATTACAATCCATGTGAAAATGAAGATATAAGTGCCATAAATGGCTACTATTTAAAAAAGAAAACTGAATTTTGAAAATATTTTCATCCACAGGAAGTGAGCATTTTTCATCTGCCTGCTGAAGGTCCTCAGAAATGTACAAAGATACAGACACTCTCTACAGCTTTCCTAACAAAGTGACATGTAAACTGCAGTCAGATACACATTATTATAATGTTAAAGCACAGCTGTGAGTGGTGGAGGTCAACCACAGATTAAAGAGATTAGAAGATTTTCAGATTAGCACTGGGTAATGAGCTTTCTACTATTTCTGTCTGACATTTGCCACATCTCTCAGTTTGAGGCACAGAGACAAACTGTGTTCAGATGCTGTATGTTCGAATTTATGCAATGAGAATTCTGGCATCATTTCATGCCAGCATTCAATGCAAAACACGAGGATATACAAATGTGAGCAAGCTGAGGGTGAATATGCTTTTGTATGAAATGATGAGTGCTTATCTCCAGGTTTTCCAACTTAAATTCATAACTATACAGAAGGAAAAAGAGAAGTGCAGGGGTCTCCACTCACACATTGGTGAGCTGTAGCATGTCGATACGCTGCTAGCTAGTACAGTGCTAGCTAATTACTGTGAAAATCCTAGCTAGCAGTAGTGCATATTTGCTTTTTATGAACACAAGGTGAAGATTCCCTTCGTGTTCAGTTGGAGGTCAGCTGAAATGTTGAATGGTGTAGACTGGCCAAACTTTACAAGATGAGATATCAGATACAGTATCTAAGAAACCCTTTCACTGGGGTTCACAGTTCCTGAGAATGAGCTCTTGACCATGGTGATGGACATTTAATATGAAATGATTAAGACCATAAAACACTGAGCCAGATTAGCAACACAACTCAAACAAAGGTGGGCCCAAAAACCTCAGATACAGTAAATGATAATGATGTTAGCATTCACAACAGTGTTAATATGACAGTATAAGGGAATGTCTGAACTCTTAATAGCAGTATAAGTGCCATTTTCAAATTGTTGTTCTAAAAATAACTTTTTTTAAGAGTAAACAGGGTTGTGTTGTAGCAAAGGCAGGTGTTTCTACTCATATGAAGGTTGCTTCTTATTAATGCATGTATTTGTCTCATATTTTTAATTAAACTAAAAATAATGAGCCTGGTCTACAGTTGTCAGCATTAGTTGACTGTATTATTTTACTGCAGTCATGCACAAAAGAAACTTGCTTACTCATGACACCTATGCGATGTGACCTATCCCAGTCTTTGAAGCAGAAGAACAGTTAGTTTTCCACTTTGTAACATGTCCCCTCCTAAACATTGGGAGATTGTTTTGGCTATGATACATCATCACATCGCTGGAAATGGTCCTCAACATCTAGTAGTGGTCAAGAACAATGGCTGGCTGAATTTAAGAGGGCCTTTTAAAGGCTTGCATGAAACTTTAAAACATCCATAATCCATCAGGAGGGGTCCTTCTATGACCTGCTAATCTGTGAGAACATTTAAATCACATTGAAATGATCACTTTTAATTTCACTAAAGCTAATTAAGGATGCATTAAGGATATTAATATTTAAACCATGTTTTATACAGCGCAAGATATAGAGACATAAATAGCCATTAATTATATGCATTCAGTTTGCATTCCATACAACCTTTGCAACTACTCTTCTCTGCACTTCTCTGTACTATTGGTCCAGAACACTAGGAATATTAGGGCTACAGTTGGTTAAAAGAGATAAAAATTTCAGTCATCCTTCACTTCTTACTCTCCTCTCTCACTCCTGTTTTTTGGTGCGTCCCTTGAACGTGTCCATGAAGTTGAAGGCTCCCACATAGTGGCCCATCAGAACGCCCTGTTTCGTAGGGAGGATGCTGCAGAGAGAAACACACCAAAACATGAGTTGGGCTTAGATTTAAAAACAAGTTTAGATGCAAGTGAGAGATTAAACAAGGTTTAGTATTGAGCTATAGTCTTATTTGCACTGTAATAAGATGTGACCCGTACAGCATCTCTAATATATGGACTGCTCTGTTTCATTTAGTAACGTTGTGTCCTGGTAACCTAACATTACCTAAGAAATCCCTCAAGCCTAAAGTCTTAAGCATTTTTTAAATTGTACGTAAATCCATTGTCTAATTATTCAAAACAATCAAATCACACATAACGATTATGCAAATGACATCCAAATTTACCTTGCTCTGTCACCAGCATTTCAACTGATTCACTTAAAGGAGCAAATTTACTAAACACCTCAACTGGAAATGTCCAAATCTTCTATCACACAAACAATTATAGTCTTTCATGTCTATATCGAACATATTGTACCCATTAATAAAACACAGTGGAAAAACTAAGTGAACCTTTGGATTTAATTACTGGTTGAAGCTTTTTGGCAGCATTAACCTCAAACCAGCTCTTCCTGTAGCTGTGGGTGAAACCTTCATAATGTTCAGGAGAAATGTGTTTCAGCTCAGATGTACTCTCAGGATGCCTGGTGTGAACGGCTCTACGAGTTCATTCTACAGCATCTCTGCTGGGTCGAGGTCTGGACTCTGACTGGGAAACCCACATGGCAGAATTTCCTCTTTTGAGGCCATTCTGTAATAAATTTACTTTAATGTTTAGCTAAAGGGGCAATGCCTTCCTAAACAGTTTACTCCTCCCTCTGTCAACTCAGTTGTAACTTTTTGTCACACACACTCCACATAGCTTAAGCCGGCCGTGTATAACTCAATAGTTCTCAGGTGGCACGGGCCCAGTTCTCAGAAAGAGCACATTCCCTAAGCTAATTCTGAGGCTGCTTACTCATTTGCTTTCTGAATGGTCCTCAGATGAGAATCCAACCAGCCAGAGTGAGGGGGAACAAGAGGGAAAAAAGCAAGGTCAAGAGTATTTCTGTCCATTTAAGGATCATAGCTACTGTTTCTTGAAATGACATTAAAGCTACACATTTGTCAATCAGCCCTGAATCCGGTGCTATGATTGGTCAAAC